GCAAATGACATTTAAAGTGGAGGTCTTAAAACTGAAGAAAATCTTGTGTGGTTAGAGTCCAGAGAGATGGAAGAAAGAGGAACATAGGCTGAGACAGAGGAGACCGTGTAATAGATTTGGGTGTCCACTCTTAGGGAAAATGGCAGAACCACTGAAGGGACAAGTCAGCTTCTGATGAGGGGCATCAGGGCACGTTCGCTGTCACCATGTGAAAAGCTGATGCTGGCTACCATGGGGAGAAGGGAGTAGCAGGGGGCCAGGGTAATGTGGGTGCAAGAAGACTGCTAAGAGGTGGTAGCAGCCCCAGGTGACAGATGCTGGTGACTTTAAGAAATGGAGAGAAGAGGACAGATTCTAGAGGAATTTTAGGAGGCAAAGCTTGCCAAGGCTCTCATTTCTTTGTGGACACACAGTGGGGCTCCCTGGAGTGAATGAAGACAAGGATTTGTCCTGGAGCCTATTGAAAATGATACAGTTTATAACATACTTCATTGCAGAAGACCCATAAGGCATGGGATGCTGATGTCCAGGACGGCCCTTATGTTGAGGACTTTAGAGCAAGAAGGCATTGTACCCTTTGTTATAACCCAGTGGAGTCTCCAATTACATATGAGTAACAACTATTAATAGTACGAAGGACCATTTGTACAAATAGTACCAAATAGCACAAGTAGTACCATTTGTCAGGGAGCCTGTGTAGGCTTTGAAGACATATGGGACCTCAGACAAGTTATTTTAACTCTCTTTGTCTCAGTTTTCTGATATGTAAATTGAGGTAATAATAGTTCCTAATTCACTGGGTGATGCTAAGGATTGGATGAAATCATCTGCATTTAGCACAGTGACTAATACATAATAAGTGCTCAGTATATATCAGTTACTATTATTAGAATAACAAACACCTCCATCTCATTAAAAGGAAACAAGATCAAGAAGAAATGTTTAATCATTTTAAAACATGTAAATAGCTTTCAAGAGGGTTGTACAGCATTAAGCAACTTTCACAAAGCCACACAGCTGTTAAGTGGTGGAGCTGGTCTGTCACCAGAACCTGTCTTTGACCGCTTCCAAAAGCAAGAGAAAGGGACCATCTCCCCACCTGCCATTTTTAATTTAGGATGGATGCATGTTGCAGGAGACAGTTCTGCTGCTAGATCAGAGCATAGGCTAAAAGGATGAGTCCATAAGGAGTGGTGACCCTTATCCAGGCGCTGACTAGAAAGGTCATCTTGATGATTTATCCTGACCCACGTAAACGGTCATGGCTTCCATGCCATAGTGAGCACAGTGAACTTGATTCCTAAGGTGCAGAGTCATAAAAACAGGAAAACCTTTCCAGTTCTCCTGAGGGCCTTCCAGAAGCTTATAACATAATTTTCTCATGAAATACTCATCATCACTTGAGGGAGGTAGTATTGGGGTTCTTTACAAAGAGGAAACCGAGGCTTAAAGAGGTAAATTATTTTTCCCACATCTAGAAAGTGGTAGAGGCAGGATTTGAATCCAGCTCTAGTTGGCTATTCTGGCCTCACCAAGCTGTGATGTTTATCTGCTAACCCTTCCAGCCCATGCTTACCCCAAATTCCCAAGGCCCTCTCTTTTACTCCTGGAAAGGATCTGGTATCAGTCATGTGCAACTAAGCACGTTTCTCAGTTGACACCTACCTCTCCAGAAATTATCTCTGTTTAAGCTGCCAGTGGTGTACTGGAGTTGGCTTGTAATGGCCCACGAGTGCTGATTGTTAACTTTCAGGAATTTTAAGAGCCAGTGGACATCACATTGGTAGTTAGAAATTGGCCTTGATGGGAGCGTTTACACCAGGGAAATCGCCAAATACTACGAATCAGGGCTCCCCTACACTTCACTGCCACTACCACCACAATGGCTGTTAAACATTTACCAGCACACCACCGGACCCTAAGCATTCACTGTCTTCTGTTAAAGAATGCCAGGCACCGGGGACCAATTTGCAAAGAAATTGGCAGGCACAAGGGAGCATCTGAAACCATGTCTGCCAATGAGCCACCACCTGCCAGCTCTGTGCTTCTTTCTGGCCCACTGCTCCAGCAGGATGAAGGGGCTTCCTGGCCCTGCTGAAAACTCTTATCCATCTCAACAGGGGAAACAGGCATCTGACATCTGAACTAAAGCCACGTGAAAATGAAAGGCTCAACCAGTATTGTGGTGACAATAGGCATGGCTATTTAAAGTTAGAAAAAAAAAATCCTTAATTTGCAGAACTACAGAATTTGTTCCTGAATAGGTAGAAGGATTATTTTTCATAGGGTGTCATAAATCTACAGAATTTTAGAGCTGCAGGGCACATAATTTTACAAGTGAGAAAAGAGAACAAGAAGCTGAGACCCTGAGAGGGACCGTGGTTAGCCCAGCATCCCACATCTCATGACGTGTGTTTATCTCTTCCCATAAACTTGTATTTAGCCACAGAATAGAAGGAATCCAGAACCCTGATATTAGCCTGACTTTGAAGAGTCCTGTGATGTTTCCCTTCATTTGAAAATGAGTATGTTATTCCACCCTGCTGGCTCCTTCGGAGATATTATGATGATATAAACAACAGCTAATTTTTTAATAAGTGCTTACTAGGTGATAGGATTTACGCTAAGCACTTTATAGGTTAAGTTGAACTACATGAAATTGTCAATAGCTGATCTTTTTTGATCTACCAAATGATGATTTCAAATAGTTCAGTCTAAATACATTCTCTGTTGATCTTTACCATGTTCCCATGAAGTGAATACTAGTACCACACCCATTTTACAGATGGGAAGACTGAGAGCTTAATTTAAAAATAAAAAGTTTCTTCCCACAGGTGTAATGCTATACTTATTTATGGATGATGCACTATGCACTCTTGTGTGCTAATCGTTGGCCCTAAACAATGGAACATATATAGGGCATGAACATTAATAGCTCACATATCTTATCTTTCTCAGTGAACTTGGGTGGTTTCTAACCAATAACATTTTTATAAGATTTAAATAAATGCTTTTTAACAACGTCATTTATGAATATAAGCCATAGGCATTAGAAAACAAGAAATGTGATGTTCTTGCATCATATATCTGCTACATCCCCCATAGAAATGTTAGAAACTATAGCTCAGGGCTCCCCAGAGGGAATTAATTGTCCTGGAATTTTTTATTATGTTCAAATGAAGAAGCAGAGTGATTTTACAACATTGTTCTCATGCAAATGATAACCAAGACAATTTTGAATCTAGGCCATTTGGTTGTGTGATTATTTGAAAATAATATTGTCCTGAATTCACATCTAAACAGCTCACAATCAGCAATGCCACCCAGAAATGATTAGCACTAACTAAATGAGATGGTGCTGTGTTGAGTCAGGAAAACAAATTGGTGAAAACTAAAATGGGCTTAGAAAAACATATTTAAAGGCAAATGACTGCTCTTTCAATATGAACCAAGAACTTCTAATATCCCATTCACAGTAAGGAAAAACTTGGCCCCGTGCTATGTGATTTGTCAGCTCTAAATAATGAATCCTCCAAGTTCAAAACTTGACGTCTATTAATTTAATGAACAAATACTTATTGAGTACCTATCAAAGGGGCCTTGCACATAAGTCATTCCATATGCTTTCTGATTGATTGTTGATTGTTATCAGTGAGAGTCTGCTGAAGGTGAGCATGTATTTTCACCTCTAAAGAAGAGGGTGTATTATTTTACCTGAAATTTTATAAGGCCAGGCATCCACAGGCTCCACAACAGCCTGGCCTCACTCAGGACTCCATTTCATTGAACACTTCAAAGCCTGGCTCTCAAAACAACCCAAAACTCATGCCTGCACCTCCCAAGTCAGACCCCCAAAAGGAATCGGAGCACCTTTGTCTCTAAGTGACTGCCCAGCACCTAATGTTATTTCCCCTTCAGTAAAATATAAATGAAAAACCCTGCCCTACCTCCCCAGTGATGGGAAAATAATAGAATGATTTAGTAAGAAATCAAACATGCTTGAAAAATTGCTAAGAAGGGTTAAATAAGTGTTAGTTCATAAAAACAAAGGATTTTCAAAGAAAGAAGCAGCATTGGTAGGTGGTATTTCCAGTTCTTTCATTTTATAAAAAAAAGAACCTGACACAGATGGTAGAGATGATTGCCTATGTTTACTCACCTAGAGGAAAATTGAGTTTGGTATCCCTCATCCAGTCCTTTTGGTACCAAACTACATTGTTATGATTCCTGTTGCTCTTATTATTATTCATGTTATGGAATATAAGAGTGTCTCTACATATATAAAAAGACTAATTTAGCTCAGCAGCTGTAACCTTCTGCATAAGAACCATTGGTCTGTGTTGCATAATCCTTTGTGCATGGTAAACCTAGTCTCCCAGAAAATTTTCCAAGGGATAAAGAGGTTTACCACTGTGTCTTGCAAATTTTAGATAATTAAATGCCCAGGGAGTATTATTCCAAGACATCAGGTGAGTGATGACCATGGAGACAAATAAAATTGGATTCATAGAAACGTTGACACCAAACCCATCACTTAACCATTCCAATTACTAGTTTCATCCATTATAAACTAAAGAAACAGGGATATCATCACTCAGGTCCCAATGAATGCTAATATTTTACTAACCTATTGTCCCATAAAATGCAATATATTTCAAATTCAGTGCAAATTCTATCCAATCATAACATTTGACACATGCGATATTATCATTTAAAAATTAAACATAAACTTGCAGGGGAAATAAAAGCTAATGCACACTACAATTAAACTTGCTCTTTTGTAATCTCTAGAGCTGAAATCGCCTAATAGAACCACCCCATCTCTTCACTTTCCTCCACATTCTCTTCTGATTACTCTTTTAGTAGTTTTTAGATTGTTATAATGGGCATGTCTGTGTCCCCTGTGTTTTTATTTTATTCCATGTATATCTTCATGATTTAGCCCAGTCTAAATAGAAAATACTCTTATAAAAAAAAAAAAAGACAGATTGCTCACATACCCCATGACGGTCCTCAAAGTACGCCAGGCTGGTTTTGGTTAACACAAAGAAGCGGACTTTAAAGTTCGAGGGAGACGTTCTTCTCTTTTGTTGGGATTTCTTGATGAGCTGTTCTTCCAGGAGGATAAAGTTGTTCATGATCCAATTCTTGAAAAGTGAGGCGCTTTGGGCATCAGCCCTCAGCACAACCAGAGGAAACAGCTTCGGGGCAAGGAATGAGATGGGGCGGCAGTTGATCTTGAGAGAGTTGTTCAAAGGCAACTTGCCTCCAGCGTTATCTCTCTATCAATGTTCAGTCAACATCGCAGAGCTTCTACTCTGATGTCAAAGGCCATAACCACATCCTTTCGAAATTCACAGAGCTAAGAGGCATATGTAAAAAATGCACATACTCTTCGCTGTATGGTTTGGAAGTGATGTTTGAAAAACCTTAGACTCAAAATGATGTGAAGGGTTGGAGTTTAATCCTCATAGTTCCAACAGTGAAAGCATGTAGCACAAGGGGTAGGAACATGGGCTCTGGAGCCAGTGGACATAATTTGTGTATTAGTTTCGGGTTGCTGCTGTAACACATGATCAAAAACTCAGTGGCTCACAAGTTTATTATTTTACCCTCCTGTAGTTCAGAAGTCCAAAATGGGTCTCACTGGGCTAAAATCAAGATGTCAGCAGGTTTGAGATCCTTTGGGGGGCAGGGATCTCTAGCATAGAATCTGTGTCCTTGCCCTTTCCAGCTTCTAGGACCACCCGTATTCCTTGACTCCTGGCCCTCTCCCTCCAACTTCAAAGCCAGTAACAGCAGCCTCTCACCTCCTACAACTGTAAGCTCTTCTTCCGCCTCCCTCTCCCATCTTTAAGGATGCTTGCGATTACTTTGGGCCTGCCTGGCTAATCTAAAATAATCCCCCTATTTTAAGGTCAGTTTATTAGCAACCTTAATTCCATTTTATACCTTCATTCTCCTTTGCCATGTAACCTAACATACTCACAGGTTCCTGGGATTGGGACATGGATACCTGTAGGGGAGCCATTGTTCTATCCACCACAGTTTGAATTTTGTCTCCATCACCTAACTAGCTGTGAGACTGTAGGCAAATTACTCAAGAGCTCTGCGCCTCATTTTTCTCATCTGTGAGAGGGAATGACAAGGCCCCTACACAAGGCACTGGTTTTGGTTCAGGGCTGTTCTCCGGCTCCCTTGCCAGTCTCATCTCACACTTCTGACGCATTCTCACTCCAGCCCTCATGCACACTCCTTATGCAACTTTGAACATCTGCTGATTTTGCCTGAAAACACCGCTCCCCTGTTTTGTCTGCTTTAACTCTAAGTTATACTGCAAGTCTCAGCCTACATGTCACTTCCTCAGAAAAGCCTCCCTGGCTTTCCTGAGTCAAATGCACCAGTAGTACATAGATGGCACCTTACACTTTTCCCTTCATATTGCTGATGACAGCTGTAATTGTAAATTCTGGAGGGTAATTTTTGGATGAATGTTTGTCTCCCCCACTAGTCTAGGAGCTCCACAATGGTCAGGACTATGTGTGGTTCTGCTCACCATTGTATACTGAGCAACCATCACAGTGCCTGGCATATAGAAATGGTGTTTAAGAAAAATATGTTGAGGGGCAGCCAGTTAGCTCAGGTGGTTAGAGTGCAGGCTCATAACACCAAGGTTGCCGGTTCAATTCCCACATGGGCCAAGGAGCTGCGCCCTCCTCAACTAGATTGAAGACAACTACTTGACTTGCAGCTGATGGGTCCTGGAGAAACACACTGTTCCCCAATAAAATTTAAAAAAAAGAAAAAGAAAAAGAAAAATGTGTTGAGTGAATAATTACCAAACTGGGTTGGACAACTAAAAAAGACAATAGCTGAACTAGGAGTTACCACCTCCTGAACTGGGGGGTTAAGGATGGAGTTCACGTGCTCCAAACCTCATCCGGGTTCTCCCAGGCTAAGAATTCAGAGGCCAGAGACAGGAGGTGGAGCAAGTCCTCGCAGACTCGGGCCACCAGCACAAACTGCCAGGCAGTTACTAAGTCTGTGTTTGCCGCTGCTTCTGCCCCTCCTTTGAGATTCATCCTCCTGGCAATTCCACAGTGACAACTCGCTGTTTATTTGTTATTGTACTTGACAGTATAAAGCTGCTCAGTTTCTTCCCCTGATTAGAATCTATCAGAAACAAGGCTAAATTATCATGACTATTAACTGTTCAAATGTTGGATGTTTTTGCAAGTTGACTGGTAATTGCAGTGGAGACCTGTAGTCCAATTTATGCCATACTTGAAATCACTGAAATCTTAGATTTGATAGAATTTAAAGTTTAAATAGAAGCCCACATATTGGAATGAATCATCAGGAATGTAGACTAGCCAAATAAAGAAATGATATAAGGCTGTATTTATTATGACAGTATGATAAAGAATTTTTAGTTATGATGTCAATTTACCTTTAATTTTTTTACATTTCGTATTAGCTGAATTACATTGAGAACTACAAAGTTACCTTTAAAAACAAGTATATTTGATATGCTTTCAAAGATATGGCACCATTTTCTGATCAAAGCCAAAATGAATCAGAAACTAGATTCTTAGTTCTAGTTTTAATTCAGCAAATGAGAAACTACAGCCCTATAATTATGAATATTTAAGAGCATAAATCTAATATTAAACAAAGTATAGTGGGCTGAGAGAATAACGTCAACTTTATTCAGTATTATAAAAGGGAAATAGCTCAACAGTAAAGTATTTTATCATTTAATAATTATCACTTAGAAATAAAAAATATTTGTTTTCAATGAAAAATAAAATAAAATAAAAATAAAAAATAAAAAAGACAATGGCCATAAAACACGTAAGAGTAACATATTGAAGTTTATTATTTTTTAAAATTTAAATGGAAGCCCATAGAAGTTTCTTCATACTATAGACAGATGATGGCTTTTCTATCCCAAAACTTAGTGGAAGAGCAGAAAATAAGTAAATCCTTCAGAATGGATAAACCAAGCATGCATGGGTTCTGAAGACAGACAAAATTATGTCAAAATCCTAGTTCCCTCTTGTTTACTAAGCTGTTTCTCTTTGAGTGAGCTGTTTACCCTCTCTGATCCTTAGTCTCCTTATGAGGATCCTTTTGAGGACCAGATCCCATAAACTCTGTGAATGGTGAGTGCTTTACATCTTGCCTTAGAATTAGCACATAGTTGAAATATAGTATGTGGTTCTTACTTCTAGCATGAAGTAAAAAACCAAGAAATCTCAATGTAAGCAGACATAGCATATACTGGGCAGAGATAAATAATGAAACAAAACAACCACAATTGCTGTATAGGACTGCAATTATCTAAAATTTATTTTTTAATGGTAAATTATTAGACTATAGCTTAATTTTGTTTCATATGTTGGATGCCCCGGCATAATCAAGGCACTCAGGATGGTGGGGGGGGGGGGGAGATACTTTAAGTCATCCTCCTTCCCTCATTCTGAGTTTTTAATACATGTATGGAAATACACTGACTAAAAAAGGAAGTTTTGGGTGTTTTTTTTCCTGTTCAGAATATGAGCTTGAAACAGGGATTGCTATATTCTCCAGGTACCTATCTACTCTCCCCTTCTTCTCAAGTAACCAACTCCCTGAAGTTTATTTGGACATCTGGCCAGCCAGAATAAAGATTACATTTTTCAGTCATGTAATTATTTCCAGATAATGGAACATAGCAGAAGCAGTGACCACAACTTCCAAGAAATGTCCTTAATGGCAATCATCATACCCATTTCATTCTCTTTTTCCTTCTTTCTGCTAACTAGAATGTGGATGTGATGGTTGGAGCTGGAGCAGCTATTTTCTATCATGAGGTAGAAATTGTACTCGTATGTTGAGGACAATGAAGCATAAGATAGAAAGAGCCTGGGGTCCTAATGACCTTGGATCTTTTATGCCAGCTTGGGAGCACTTTTTTTTTAACATAAAGAAAAATAAAAATCTATGTTCTAAGCACTTTTAATGATGTTGTTACCAACGATAAACCTAATTCTAACCAATATAGTACTATATTCTAAACTAGACTGTAAACTCCTTTGAAAAGGGTAGATTTATACCTGGCTTCTTCAGGTTGAAAGATTTATAGACTTCACACAGTAGTCTTATATAGGAAAGCAGAGTATCACCGGTAGCTATTGTAATGGACCCTTTTATTTGACAAGTCTCCATGTAGTGCAATCATAAGTAATTGTGTTCTCTCTCTCATAGTACCTCCAAAACTACTCACCAGGATTAGTCTTTGTCCTTGGATAATTGTAACCTTAAGGTCCCAATATTTTTCCTATCACTTTCAGGAAAACATACATAAAGATAAATAATCCCTTTGCTTTGGTTTAAAAAGTTCAATTCACAGGAGCCAAATTGAAGGAGCTCCCACTTGTCAAAGACGAAACAATTTAGGCATCAAAAAGGACTATAGCTGCAATGAACTGAAGAACAGCCCAAATGTTAAAATCATGAGTTCATAAGATACTTGAAGAAAAATCCCAACCCACTGATCACTTTTAGAAGGTGCTGGAGAACTAATTTTTTATCCCAAAAACTGGAGAACAAAGGAAAAGTGAAAAACATGTTTCAGTATTTCCTGAGGAACTATATCTCAGTTTAGTAATAAAATATTTAATGAGGGAAAAGTCTTCATTAAATATTAGAGAAGTATTCCAACTAATAAACAGAGTGAGAGACTATCACCACTTAGTAATCCTAATGACATAATGGATCTAGGCAACCATCGCCAATGGCTGCTAAAATCATTATGTGAAACGCCACCAGGAAAATTTATAGTTTATATGTTAGACTGATGACACTGTAACACAGGGATCAATCTTAACATCACAAAAAGAGAGAACCAGACATTCTGTTTCCTGATGCTGTAAGAAGCACACAAAACCACCCACAAAGAAGTCTTGACAAAAAAAAAAAAATCAAACATGACTCTCTTGATCTATATTCAAGTTTGCAGGAAATGCAGGAGATAGAGGAACGTGACAAATGCATGGAGATACAGGAGATAAAGGAACGTGACAATTGCATGAAGATCATGCAACTGGATAAATCCAAAATACACAAAACAAAAACAAATGACCTGTGTCTATAATAAAAAAGCCAGAGGGAGAACCTATAGACTGACAGACTTTGAGATATGTTAAGCATGTGATGATTTTATTTGGCTGTAGATCCAACAAATTAATTGTAGACATTATGAGACAACTGGGACATCAGAAAA